AACAACATTTTTTTTTTTTTTTTTCCCTACTGCTCTCACTGCATCTTTTACTCGCGTCTCTGCCGTGCAAGTGCCACATCCCGCTACCAGCAGCAGCCGCCGCCGCCGATAACTAATCGCAGTTTCAATGCTTATTTCGCATTAAAGGGGGCTAATAAAAAAAAAAAAAAAAAAAAATCCGTGCCAGACATGTGAGTAGCAAAACCATCGCTTACCCGTTGACTGCTGTGTGCTCACGCTATTGTATCCTCACACCACAGAGAAACAAATGGGCATTGAACCGTGTCGTTGTGCATTTAGTGTCAGTGTGCTGGTTTCATTGTAGCATGGCTGAGCCGAGCTCTCTGCACATTGATGGGGGGCAGATGAAGCCTCGCTTGTCGGCTTGTTTTTTTGGGGGGGCTCTGGGCTCTGCGTCGGCTTGGCTAATTGAGCCCTAAAAAAATATATATTTAAAAATCAGGCTGTGGTTTTCTTGCTGTAAATAGCCCAGATGTAGAGGGGAAAGCCCATTCAATCACAGGCTGTGTGGTTAGTGTGTAACGTATCCGAGCTCTTTAGCCCTGCTCGCATTGACTCAGGGTTGCTGTGAATGTGATGTGTGTGTATGTATATATTATATATGTATAAGATAGTGTTTGTGTGTGTGTGTGTGTGGGGAGAGAAGAGAGAGAAGAGAGAGAAGCAGAGAGAGAGAGAGAGAGAGTCCAGCCTGGCATCTCCAGTCAGATGTGGAGGCCCAGGTTAGAGCACACATAATGCGGCGGTGTTGGTGTGAGATGTGTGTGGAGGCTGTGAGAGGTGAGGAATCAGGAGCAGGAATCACAGGATGATCACTGGTGCAGATGTGAGCACAAGAAGCCCACTGGATAGCGGCGATGTCTGTGTATTGTCCAGTGCTACATGCAGTCTAGAGCTCAAAATCACAGAGGTGTAAGATTGTTTTGTGTATTTGTTCAGTGTTTTAGATGCACAGCTGGCGTATAGGGATGTGTAGTTTGGTTTGTGATTTCCTGTAATAACTTTACAGAAAACTCACTGTAGTGCTTTTTTTAAATCGATAGATTATTCCTATAATCATTTGCAGAATTTCTCTTCTTTGTCTGGATTATTTGTGACTGCGCATAAGAGATGTGCGACAAAATAATCTCAGCTTTTGCTATCTTTTGAACTAGAGAGAGACTGGTCCTTCTTTTTCTCTCCTGATACCTGAACTCAGGTTGTTTGCCGATATGAGTGCGACTGATACTGTTTGGATCGTCTTTATTTATAGCAACGTGTAGATTGTTTTGGGACTAGAACTATGTCAGCAGCTCACCGTGAAAGAAAGAAAGAAAGAAAGAAAGAAAGAAAGAAAGAAGTGCATTTTTGAATAATAAACTGTATTTAATGCGGAGGGGTTATGTCGTGGTTGATACACACAGCCTGCTAAGTAAAGTCAGTGTCAGCGAGTGGAATCAGTGCATCAGGGAATGAAGATATTTGCTTCATTATTTAGTTACACATATGAGATATTTCACAGTGTTGACAGACAGGGAGAAGTTCAACTGTTACTGTAACTTTGTTGCTAAATAGTTAAATAGTAATGAGAAGTGTTTGATAATGATTTTAAAGCTTGTGGATAGTAGAGAGGAAATGAAGGGAGGAGGAGGAGGGATGACATGCAACAGGTTCAGTGTCTTTCATCCTTAGACCACCAGGATGCCCCGAGTCCACCTACATCTCTGCTAAACACAAAGCAGAGAGGATATCTGACTAACTTTGACTAACAAGTTTTTATAATCTTGGATGTTGTTCACTGTTTCAGGGGTGAGAACATCATGCTTTTCTTGAAGATGTCAGTCCAGCAAACCAATAGGCTTGTGACGACGATGCCCAGTCGAAGATCCTGGGATTGAGACGTGAATCCCTTTACACTGATGGCCTGGACTGAGTAAGTGTGTGTGCCTGTTGCCTGAAGTGGACGTTCAGTGTTGTTTTGTCTGTTTTGGATACCTGGCATCATGTTGTTTATGCAAAAAGGTGATGATGTTTGTTTCTACGACAGGTTTCAGCTGGCCTGCTGAAGCTATGGGGAGCTGTTGGAGCTGTCTGTACAGAGACCCCATCCGAGACAACCATCTCACCAAATTTAAGGTCAATAAAAACAAAATAACTTTAAATTCATCACATTTCTTTGTCTGGTAATCTCCTGTATAACAGCACCACTTGTACTGTTTGCTTCCATGTTACATTATGCTGTAATAAACTCTTGTATTTTACAGTTTATTGCAATAATCTTCATATTATATGTTTTCTCCCGGTCCCAGGTCACCAATGTGGACGATGAGGGCAACGAGCTGGGCTCTGGGATCATGGAGCTCACCCAGACCGAGCTCATTCTTCACACACGTAAGAGGGACGCCATCCGGTGGCCGTATCTCTGCCTGCGACGCTACGGCTACGACTCAAACCTGTTTTCCTTTGAGAGCGGTCGTCGCTGTCAGACTGGGCAGGGTAAGCAGCATTTTCTGTGTCTCTGCCTCAGTAACACCGCTGTAGAGTCACGATGATGTTGTTTTCAATACATATTATCATCTACCACTTTATATGTTTATATGTTATAATGTTTTAACCATTTGTATGGCGTTGCTTACTAGGCTTTTTTCACAGACATTTGGACATGTCACAGCAGCAAAAGCACAGGTGTATATAATGAAATTAATGATGGCTGAATTCCATTTAGCTGCTCCAGTTTCGGGATACTGGTACTGTGAATGTACAGCACTTGTTAATGTCATTAGTTTTGTTTCATTGTGAAAGATGAGCACCCAGCATCTGGGATCACCCTTTCATTTCAACATGGTCGTAGCACACGTCTTACTAACTGGTGCTGAACAGCTGTCAGCCTGCTGTCATAAAGGGTTGGGACCTAGCGTTGGGTAATGACCTAGCTGGCCAATCGCTGCGTGAAGTGGGTGTGAGTGTCGGGTTGTCGGCGAAGCTAGTCGGCCATCCGACAAGCAGTCCTGATGGATGCTGGCCCCTTGAAACACGGAGAAGTGAAAGAGAAAGAAAGTAATAATGTTTTGTTTCAATGAATTTATAACCGTATGACTATCATGCTCAGGTCAGGAGCATAATACCAAATTAATCACACCTGTGGGTGTGACATCACCCTCTGCACACATACAGTATGTACGCTGTGCACACACACACCCTCTTTTTTTTTTGCCGACTGGGAGGGAAAAAGACACAAACATCACTTACCATATATATTATTACTCACCAGTGTAGTGTTACTGGACAAGATGTTAAATGTTTAGTCAGAGCAAATAACTTTATAAACCTCAAGTCAAATTGTCAGTCATTCATCTGTCCCTCAACCATGAAGTTAGTTTTCTTTTCATTGCGTTATTGGTGACTAATTGTAGCCTAACAATGTTGTTATTTTGCTTGTTTGATTAGGAATCTTTGCATTTAAATGCTCCCGAGCAGAAGAGATCTTCAATCTGCTTCAGGAGCTGATGCAATGTAACAGCATCAACGTGGTGGAAGAGTCGATGATGATGAGTCGCAGTGGTCACACACCAGAGATGGAGATGTCTCGCACACCACAGACTCCCAACAGTGAGTCACACCACACACACACACACACACACACACACACACACACAGACACACACACACACACACACAGACACACACACACACACAAAAGTAAGAGTCCTGCTAATTATACACTTATAATTGTAAAACTTGCATGCAGCAATACAGCAGTAAATTTAGCAGAATTTATAAGCTATTAATAGCCACAGGTTAAATTGAACCTAGTGAGTCACAGATACAAAGGTATCCAAATAACACCAAGTGAAGCGGAAACACAGCCTGCAGACGTAGACTTTAATTTGACCATTATATATTATGTCTCTAATGTCCTCAGAATGTTGCATCGTTGTTGATTAGTTTTATTGTGGCTCAGGAGGTATAGCAGGTCGTCCACTAATCACTGGGTTGGCGGCAGTGCTGTAGAAGTCTGCTGTCTCGGACTTGTCTTTGACTCATTAATATTTGCACTCGGACTTGTCTTGGACTTGGCTATTGGTTACGCCAAATATTCTAGTTCAACAGTGTGTTTGTTGAATTTACTTCCTCCTTCAACACACAACCACCGATACAGAGTGCCTGTTCAGAAAATGGGTATTTGTTTAATACAAAATTCATCTATAAGTAACCATGGTTACCAGGCAGTAAATCAACGTTACTTTACAATTGTATGCCTGACTGCCAAAACTCACCTCATTGGTCATGCGATTCTCTGTCTCGACTTGTCATGGTCTCGACAAAGGTGGTCTTGACTCCAGCACTGGTTAGCAGTTCGATCTCGAAGACCCTGAACCCCAAATTGCTCACGAGCGTAAGGGAAATGAACCTCGCATTGTATGTTGTTGTGTGTGAATGAAGGCAAATTGCAAAGCGCTTTGGATAAAAAGTGCTATTTAAATGCCATTTAGCATTTACAATCTGACATAGTGTGTGTGATCCTAAATTGTTGAAATATAGTTTTTTAATTCTTAATTTTAATCTTAGACACAATATGACTATTTGAATGAAAGCATGACTTTATCATGTAATTCTGAATACTTAAGTTGCTCCTGTAACATATTTCTATTAAGATAATGCTGTGGTAATGACTATAATAATATTGGACATAAAGTAAAAAAATATTATGATAAACAAATAACACTAACACTGGAACATTAGAAGTGTTTTATTACCTAATATGAACTCAATAAATGACGCCCCCTCCAGCTCTGACAGTATACAGACTATTTAAAGGAGTTAAGTGACATATTGCACTCAGCAATTTTCATTGTTAACATAACTAATAATTTAAACAATATAAAGATATTCAAACTCTCAAATAGAAAAAATATAATATAGCTCACAACACAAGTTCATGTTAACACTAAAAGCACTTTTTTAAAGAACACAAAAATAAGACACAGACACAAAAGGTTGAATGAAATCAAACCATCATAGTTTTTCAAATCAGATAATGTTAATTTATGTGCAGTACTGTATTCAATATTAGTTAATTATCAAAAGTATTTTGCCAATCAGTTTCTCTATTTAGAACGTACACACACACACACACACACACACACAAACACACACATTTTTCTTTACTTCCACATCTTAATAAAATCAAACACATTTACAGTTGTACCCAGACTGCATTTAGTTTGTTCCATTACTTCGCAGTTCAGTCTTGTTTATGTTAGCTAGCTAGCAGTTAGCTATTGTTAGCTAGCTGCTGTTATTAAAACAGTGTGCAGCTGTTTGAATTTGAGCTACGGAGAGAAGCTAGCAATTATACATTACATGGCCCCCCTTTGTAGTTCCCTTTCCAGGAATATGAGAATTGTTTATGCTGACAGCTCTCTGTGCAGAAACTTGTGCTAAACCTATTTGTTGAGAAGTTTTTTTCTGTATACAAAGTTCTGTACTGCAGTGAGTTTAAAAAGATTATTCTCAAAATTCTGACCCTGACAAGAAAACCCCTTTAGGTTAAGATATACTTATGTGTTCTGTCCCAAATTTCTGTCTGGAAGAAAGACTTGTAAGCAGTGTAAAGAGGACAGCGGCTCTTCCATGCCTCTTTCATGTATGACAGTTCATCCCTAATAAAGTGAAGTGGGTGAATTATTTGACTGACTGTTGTGATGTGATGATGTTGTAAAATGATCGTCAAAATGTGGCTTTTATTTTCTCAAAGAACATGATCGTTATTGTTAATGCATTCATGCATCCTTGGCATATATGACTAGAGGCACGATGGCTGAGAACTTAATTCACGTTCAAAAATTTTAATGGACTTTTTTAACTTGGTCTTAACTGCAATAAACACAATCTTTGGAGCCAAGTTAAGCTTTAGCTACAGTTATAAACCAAAAACATTTGAATTGTACTTTATAAAGTATAACAAATCGAGTAATTCAAACTGCATTCTTTTTTCTGTTTTTAAAGCTTGATACTATTTATAACACATCATCAGCTCACTGAATCATGGCTTCACCTGATCACAAATGCTGTATTTCTTTGTCTGTGTCTTTATATTGTCATCAATCAATGTGTTTGCAGCTCCAGCGTTCCCTGTCCAGGCTTTCCCCAATGGATACCCTGGTTATCCAATCAGAGGTGATTCCTCTCAACCCTCTCTTGCTGATGATCGTGGACATAGCCTCATGGGTTTGGAAGACCAGGTAAGACCTATCCTTGCTCCTTTTTATAGTTCACTGTAGCTGTTCTTATTCACAATTTGACCCTGCTTTTATTTTATCTGACAGACCCACACCTATGTAAATACTGTTAGTATGGAGGGGGATCTCTCTATGCGTCACTGTGTGCACTCCCTGCCCGAGGTGCGGCCCAGCACTTTCCCTGAAACTACGCGGGGAGCCATGCCCGTCGGGGGCCAAGGAAATCCGCAGTCCAACCTGCGGTGCTGTCCCCTGGAGGAGCATAATGATCCTCAGGTGTTTTTACAGCCGTCCTCGCAGGAGGTCAAATTCATGCTGGGCCCCACTCCAGCACAGCGCCATCTGCTGGAGAGAGAGAGGGAGAGAGAGAGGGAGAGGCACGGGCACAATCCTCACAACCTTCAGCCAGTAGAGGGTGCAACAGGCTCAGAGACGGAGGGAGACGAGCCCTCCATGCACCTGTGCAACTCTCACTCCTATCACCATTTTCATCATCACACGCACCGGCACCCGGGGCTCGAGCACCCGGACAGCTGCCAGAGCGGCGAACTCACGTACGAGAACATCAACGGTCTGAGGAGCGGCCGGAAGCAGCGGCTGAGTCCCAGCAGTGTGTCGCAGTCTGTGGGTTCGAGCAGCAGCAGCAGCACCGGGGACAGTCACTCCCACTCCCTCCTGCACCCGCACGCCCACGGCCCCTCCTCTCTACCCCCGCAGGGCTACGGCTGCGAGAGGGGCATGGGCGGAGGTCATCGTCGGACAGCTCTGCTCAACTACGAGAATCTGCCCTCTCTGCCGCCTGTGTGGGAGTACGGCGCTCTGCAGCGGGATGATGAACAGGATGAAGAAGACGATGAACAGGATGAGGATGAATACGAAGAAGAGGAGGAAGACTTTGATGAGTATGAGTTCTCAGAAGGCCCTGGGACGCCCAACGGGTACCACCAGGATGGCCGGGGCATACACAGAGATGCCCTGCAGAACTATGTCAACACAGAGCAGGTCCAGCCGCCCCGGCTCCGACACGCCTGCCCGCCGCATTCACGGCCATGTCAGCCAGACAGAGGGGGGCGAATATTTAGTTTTGATTTCCGCAGACGATCGAGGTCAGGGGTTGGAGGCTGTGAGCACGGCCACATGCCTCCATCGCGGCAGCTGAATTATATCCAGGTGGACCTAGAGGGAGAACCTCCCTGCCAAGCCCTCAGCAGTGGGGGTGCCCAGACCCAGCCACAGCACCAGCGCCTACCACCCAAAAAATGTGGCCCCCAGGCACCCCGGCGCAGTGAATGCTACGCAGTCATTGACCTAAAGAAGACCGCTGCCATGTCCAACCTGCAGAAAGCTCTGCCCAGGGATGATGGAACTTCCAGAAAGACTCGCCACAACAGCACAGACCTGCCTCTGTAAACGGTGTTCAAACTGAAGAGGAGCGATGAAGACAGATGAAGGCTTATCCTCATCTTAGCACACTGGACCCTTCACTGTCATCCATCCATTCAACTGTCGGGCTGACTAATACAGTACAGGTACCTAATTAGAAACTTACTGAAACCTATCTGTGCATATAAAAGGAAATGAGAAATCTCTGAGGAGAATTTGCCATTTTATTCTGTGTTATTTATTAGATATGTGGTGTGAATCCCTCTCGAGAAATTGGCAGTTTTTACTGCAAATACTTTGCTGGATATATGGATATTTATATATAAGCATAGAATCATATTTATATGTATGATTTTATGCTTAGCTATGACTTAGAGCAGAGACCTCATTGGAAGCAGTCATTGCCATACTGTATTAGCAAATTCTAATTCATAAACCCATCTCCACTCTCAAATATTATTGTTCCTATCATTTACTTATTTTACATCCATGTGGGTTTTTATGGAAATACTACGAGAGTCAAAAATGTGACTCTCATTACAGAAGAAGTAGAGCAGTTGTTGGCATGAAGGTTAATGGTTCCTCCAAGATACTGGCCAATATTCATACCTCATCACAAGCATCTAAGTCTAATATTGTGGCTAGTTGAAGAGACCATTATTTATTATTTTATTATGCCTATAGAGCATTTTGCACACAATCCTATGGAATTGTATTTTATCATATGCTAGGAATGGTGTCGTCCAATCCAACAAGAACTAAATGAACAGAAGAGATGGTGATATTTGGAGAATTATACTAAACTGAATGACCGTAAAAGTAGCACACATGGATTAAAACGAGCTTTCAGCTCCCACCTGTCCACATGCAGCAAATGAAAAAAGTAGCATATCATCATTGATCATACCTCCTGCACATCATCCCAGAACTGCAGGAAGTCCACGTGGTTTACGCTTGTCACATTGCACTTTTAACCCTGGGCCACTGAAGCGCTCTTTGTCTCTACTCCCACTCCACTGGAGCCACAGGTTCGACCGCGTCCTTTTACCAAAAGCAGGGGCCAAATATTTCAATCTTAGTCAGCATTGTAGATAGGATTTATTTACATATTTTGAAAGAGACATCAACAACCTCAAATAGTGGCATTAAGCTATAACCTCACATGAAATGTGCTGAATCTATAATTTGTTAGTAATCAGGTGTGAATGGTCTGTGTTAAAGGGTAAATCAAGTATGTCACCAAGTCATGCAGTGAAGACTTATGTGAGGCTATTTATCGACCTTCTTAATCAGATATTTATTTATTTATTTCATAAATTATTCATTCTTTTTTTTTTTTTTTAATAATTTCTGTTTTCCATGTGATGACCAGCGTTTTGTAATCCAGTTGGTAATACAGAGACCAAAGTTTCACCTCAAATTATCACTGGACACTGGTGTGTTACTGTTATAACTGTGCTTAATTATATTTCAGAAAAAGAAAGACTGTATTTATATTTTAAGTGCCAAAACTTAATTGCAAATTGTATGATGAATGAACTCAAACGTGCCAATAGGATTCGTAGAAAGACTAGAGACAGAGAGGCATACAGCGATAACAGTCGGGAGACAAACTTTTAAAAACAAAAAAAACAAAAAAAAATGGTTGGCACAAAAAAAAAAAAAAACAGAATCCAACTTTTTAAGGAGAAATAGAAATTAAAACGACAAAAACTGCACATTCCACCTCATCCACATCGACAGCCATTGCGGAGCGGGATATAAGAATGGTAATCTTGTAGTCTGATAATCACAGTTAGGGTGGTTTTATGCTGCTACATGTACATACTAACAGTAGCCCACGTAAGCTACAGGTACTCGTCAAAATGAAAACATATGTGTTTGAACCTATGAGATGTCAGATCTTTTACCATATTGTTAATTGCTAATAGAAGTAGCATTGTTGTGCTCATCTGAGATCATTTCTGAGCAGAAGTAGAAATATACTATGTACCATTTCAGAGAATGTTTCATTTGACCAATATTTCAATTAATTGCGATTGTTTTCTTGACAAACTGGCTGTCTGGGTAGGAGAGGTACTGGGAACCACAGGCCCACTGATGCTGTCATCTTTTTGTTGAGCGCTCATATCAGGTTGATATTTTCAGCTGATGGAGGAAGGCCAAATGTTCTAGATTTACAGTGTGTAGTCTTCAGATGCTGATGTATTGTGACATTTAGCTGAAGTTGATTTCTTTCTCTTTTTTTTAACGGTGCATTCAAGAGATAAAATATGAGGCGAAAATACAAATTCTCAACTTCTGATGATGAGGAATTTTTTTATCTACTGTATAAGATGAGGTGCAAGGCAAAGATAAATTTCTTCAAATTAATTTAATCTTGGTGCTCAGATCACCATTTTCAAATCGAGACAAAACAACACAGACAGAAATCTCAGAAAATATGTTTTCATGGCTTTAAAATAATAACTTCCAGTATTTAGATTGTTTTCATTATTGACTATTTTTTTTACATTTTGATTAATTAATTAATTCATTGTTTAGTCTATAAAATGTCAGAAAATAATAGAAAATGCTATATACAGTAAATTATATATTTTACATTTAATTTATTTAGATATTCAATTTTGAATGATACAAAAAAGTAAAAAGCAGTTGGAAAAAAGCCTGATACAGTTAATGTTTTGGGCATTTTTGCTTTATATAGTATTTGAATCTATCATCATTTCAGCACTAGATGGTTCCCAAACATTACAAATCAGATAGTCTATTACTAATCTGCTCAAGTTATTTGCCATTTATGACTTCTATATCTTTTGATTAACCAGTTCAGTTAAAAAAAATTAGAAAATGGTAAAATGGTGCTTCAAATATAACATTTCCAATGATATAAAACTGACAAGAAAACCCTCACAAATAACAAGCAGCAATCATCAGATGTTTGGCATGTCTGCTTTAAATAATAAAACTGAAATGATAAAATAATACAGTACTAATTTGTTGTAGCTATAAATGTGATGTGATTTAAAAAAAAAGCTATTCACATTTCATGATCTGTATTCAGCGGTTCGTAGGATCATCAGTAAATCTGGCGATCTTTTGGTCGATTAATCTGTTAATTGTGTCTAAATATCAAAAATGTGTTGAAAATGTAGACAAAATATTCAGTTTACTATCATGTAAAGCAGATAAAGCAAAAAAAAATCCTCACAAATGAGCAAATGTTTGGCGGTTTCTCTTAATAAATGAGTAATCTGTTCATTAATTGAATCATTTCAGTGCTGCTGGTTTGATAGTAACAAAAATGTGAAAGTGGGATGAACACTTTGGCTTCTGATGCACATTCCCAACACAGAAACCCTAAATAACCCAAATCTAAAGTTGATAGTTTGTATTTTTGTTTGATCATCATACTTTCATATGACATTTAAAAGAAAAAAGTCTTCTATAACAACAAGGCCAACGTTCAGCTGACATTTTGACTGTATTTGCAGAGACATTGTCATGATACATTGGAAGGATGTTTACATTTTTGCAATAATAGTTGAATTATTTTTTTGTCAATCTTAAATCAGACCAATGTGTGAAGTGTGAAATTTAAATAGTAGTCTGTAGAGCTGTGGGCTTAATGTATTTACTCGCCTGTTCTTCTGTGAATCAGCAGTCTTATTTTTTATTTCAGGTACAATGTTTATTTTTCAATCTTCATAGTTCGATTTTAGCTATGAAAGTTTAAAAAAAGAAAATAATAAGAAAAAAAAGATGCCTGTTTTCTTGATTGTCAGACAATGTGTTTGCTTGAACTCACATTAACAGTGCCATACAGTAGGTGACCATTGCCAGTACTTAAATTACATTTTATTGTATTAAACTTTTCAAACCAGTGGCGATGTTTCACACAGGAATCAGAAAGTGTTTCATCTAATTTCTCAGAATATTGTTACATGTGGTTTTATGATCATTTAAAAAAAAAAAATATCCATGTTGAAATGTGTTAACTATCTTTGTTATAACGCAGTAACCTCACCAACACCCAAACCAGTTAACAGTGATTACAGCATTACCATTATTACCACATACTCCTGTGTTTATGGATTAATAATAAAAAATAAATATATATGTTAAATAATTGTTTTTCAAAATCGCTCTGCACAAAAAAAAACATGCGTGATCTCATCGCACTTGAGTTCAAAAGAAGTACAGTTCCCATTCTCGTCACTCATCGTGATTGACTGATGCTATCTCAAGCATTTCATTTTCATAACGCTCAGTGTTTATGCTCCAGGCACAATTTACACAGGTGTCTGTGAAATCATTAAGTGCTGCTCATTGGTATGATATGTTCTGCCGATGCAATCTGCAGGGCAATGAGCTACAAGTCGAGATAAGAAGTTCTGTCATTAAGTTCCCCAAACAGAATTTATTGTATGGGTTGTTTAACAAAAGGGCTGTGCTCTGTGTTTACTGTACTAACATGAACGTGTATCTTGAAGTCCATTTAAATGATTTTCTCACTGTGCCTTCCATATTCAACCTGGAGAAACATCTTCATTGCTGTCTGTGAGGGCGGCCTGTTGTAAAAAATAAATCAGCACCTGTTTGAAGTTTTATAGCTGATGGTGGTGAAATTTGAAAGGGGCTTTAAGTCGAACTTGAAGTTGTATTTGAAAAGAAAAGTGCCAACTCCTGATTGTTTTACACCAAAATTTTGTCTATTTTAAAGGAGTATTTCGACGCTTTTGGGAAATATGCTTATTCGCTTTTGGCTGAGTTCGATTAGAAGATTGTTGCCACTCTCACGTCTGTACTCTTAATATGAGGCTACAACTAACAGATTCTTAGCTTAGCTTAGCATAAACACTGGTATCAGGGGGAAACTGTTAGCGTGACTCAAAATCCACCTAGCAGCACCTCTAAAGCTCATAAATTAACACATTATATCTCGTTTTTTTGTGTAAAAACGACATATCTGATTTTGATGGGGGTTTTGGTGACAGCAGTTGCCAGGGCAACCAGCAGAAAGTCACTGCCTCTGGTCATAAAACAGTTCAGCACATAATTGATTCTCATTCATTCTTATTTAAACTTATACCAAATGAGGTTAACCCTCTCTTCTAACTCTTGGCACGAAAGAAAAAGTGTATTTCCCCAAAATGTTGGACTATTTCTTTCAGGTTGTGGAAAATTAAAAGTGAATGAAACATCATTTGTTGAGGAGATGCAGTGAAATAGCCAAACTCAATGTGACTGAAAAGGTGTTGAATCATGATTAGTATGTTCTGTAGCATATAATGTTAATTCTGAGTAAAGATTACAGTGTTTTTGTCATTATAATGTCATGCGGCTATGGTGCACTCCATCTGATTTCTCATCAGATGCCATTTCTTCTCATAGTGCTGAAGAATGTGAAAATAAAATTCCTTTCAGAGATTTCTGTTTTTTGTATACTTTTCCAATGTGTCAGATGACAAGAATATAGTAAGAACAGAAAGAAAGGCCAGCAACACGGTGCACCATAGTGCTACATATCACTTTCATCAGTGGTTTTCATCATCATCATCATCTCTTTAGTGATTTTGTACATTTTCATTTTCAAAAAAAAAAAGAAAATCTCCCACAGAAACATCATGATCTAAATGACATATTGTAAAACCTTAACTTCCTGTCCATGCTATGAGATAGATCTCTGTCAAAATACTGAAAGTATCAGAAAACTGTAATATCTCTTTATTATTGTGTTGGTTTTTTGTGTTTTCTTAAAAATCTGGTTTGTTTTTGTCTGGTACGAAGATGTAATCACCACCAGAGGGTGGTGTACGGGTCTGAGCTGTACATTTTTGTGACAGATTTGTGTATTTACATACAGGTTGCATTGGCATAACTTTGTGACTATTATATCAATTTATGAATCGAATGAGTGCCAAATATGCTTGAGCATGACAAAATCCGGGACCTACGAGGAACTGCAGGTACTCCCTGACTCACTGAGCGAGACTCGAGTGACTCACTGCTGTTGTAGACTCTCTACTTGTGATACGAATGCACAGCTGAAGGTTTAACCATGCTAAATATTTTTGCTGAAAGAGGGAAAAAAACGTCATTATGTTTTTGTCTCAGTTTTGAAAAGTTTCTTAAGATATTTGTTGTATGTTTCTGTGTCCATCCATGGCTTATAAATGAGTATGCAGTGATGGTCTTATCATGCTGCCATTAGAGGTGAATATAAAAAGCTGATTTGCTTCATTTGTTGGAATGTCAAAAAGAAACATTTGGGTCATTTTCATTCTTAAATCATTCCACACAGAGATGCATTGTATGTTATCTGACCTCCTCTTCATCCCACCATGTCCCAAAACAAAGTGAGCCTGACATTTGGTGAATTTTACCCTGAATTTTATCAATTATAGAGTGTGGATTTGTCCAAAATGTAAAAGTAAATGTAATTCTAATATTAAAATGAAGCTATGAAAATATCTTATTGCGCACTAAACAGTGTCTATTTTTTTTTCTTTAACTCAAAACGTTAATGTCTCAAAGAATCAATAAATGTATTTGAGCAAACAAAGCATTTTTCCTCCAGGATCATGTGCCTCTTCCGTTCATAACATGGAACATTTTTAACATTACAGCAGTGCTTGAAATCGAGGATGTCCTGATGTACCAGGGACAAAAACATACAGTGTCTTCTGGGACAGTAGAGAAATTTATCATTATGAATTAAGTCAATACGTTTATGCAACATGGATTATATATTTTAATTGTTAGGTGTGTGTGTGTGTTTGCACCGGCACGAGCTCTACCCTGCGTCACATGCTGGCTTACACCTTAAATAAATCATACAGGGATCAGTTTTGCCAACTTTCTTGCTAGATTTTGCAACTTTTCAGCAGGGAAAAGGCGATAAATATATTCACATATATTGTAATTAATTCCCCTGCATGCTGATAAAAGTAATCCAGTCTTCTGCCAACAGCGCCGGGGTTTCTTCCTCTCCTCTTGTACCTTGCTCAGGCGGGCAGTAGGTGTAATGGACGGGGCATGTTTGAGCTTTTCTCTCACTCTTCCTCTCTGGACAATGTTTCTATCCATGTAAATATGTAAATCATTTGTTTGATTTTGTAAATATTTAAATAGTTTGTTTGATCTTCTCCTCTCTTTGATCTGCAGTGATGCATTTATGGATCTAAAAACAAAAACAAGAAACAGTAAGTCAACCATGGCTAAAGTAATAATAAGAACTGATTGTGGTTAAACAGGTTGATGTAGGTACAGGGAACAACTATCAGAACTTTTATGGCGGGACAGAATTAATCAATGAGGTGATGCAAGTTACTGAAACGAAGTTATTAAACTATATTTATTATGAAGAATAATAAAATAGAACTTCAGTTTGGGACATTTAGTTGTTAATTCAGTTTAAAGTAGGACAGTTGAGTTCAAGTTCATTTCAGGCTCTGCTTTACAACATCACAAGATAATATTAAAGGTATTTCTAGAATATTTTTATAAAATATACAAGAACTGCTCAACAATCAGTACAAGTGTAAAAGTATTTGTTTTAAAGAGAGAACGAAAGGAGTCAGGTCAACACAGCTTATGTGAACATCAACCCCTTTTTTGGGCTGTTGATGATCAAACCTGATCACTCTTGGAGGTGAAATGTTCTGTTTGCTCTGGTCTTTTTATTATTTTCTTAAGGAAGCATTGAAGACAGACGTGAAGCGGACCTGTTTAAATGTGTGTAATACAACTTAAAGCATTCATCCTCCAGCCCAGCAGCTGAGATACGCTGCACTGTGTGATGGATGTCTGTACCCAAATGAGAAAAATGATGTTAACTGTGTGAACACCATTCAAAGTAGATTGCCCTTTTTGTTGAGGGCATGTATAGCTGTTTGTAGCTCAACAACCTGCCCGGGATATATTCCTCATTATCCAAGTGGACACAACCATGTTTTTTGCGCAAACCAGAAATTAAATCATTATTTTATTCGACAGTTGTTTTTTGCAGCTGAATATTAACTTTCTTTTGAGCATGTACTTAGTGTCTGCCAGTGTGTAAACTATTTTAATAATTTGATGTACAAGAAGCATGGTCCTTGTTAGCTCTAGAGATTTACAGCAAACTGTAAATATATGCCTTAAATACTAGCTGTCTTGTCTTGTGTTCGTATGTCTGTCTTGTTTTATGGTTATTGAATAATTGTATCAAAAGAAGAGCCTCACAAATAAAGCAGATCTTTTATTGTTTCTACTCTACTTGGTGTCACTAATGTTAAGTCTGGAGGGTTTTAACTCAACTAAAGCGCTCAGTATATTTTTGTTGTAACAGAACACAGACAATGCCTGTACATGGCGTCATGAAACTTGTTCTACTGTTTGAAATTTGAGGGTTGGATTTCTGCCTCACTTAATGTACCTGAAATGTGATCATCTGAAATTTACAGTTTCCCAGTGGAGTTTTCACTACAAACAGTTCACTGTGTTACAAACATAAGCCGAGATGGGTTCAAATGTGTGACAGGAAGTCGTGGCAAGGCAGCACTTTTTTTTTTAAGGGTTTTGGAGAATTTGAATTGTAGATAAGCTGGCTGAAATGTAAATTGCAGTAATTAGTCAAATATAACTTTTCCCCTCCAGCAATATAGGCTTTTATGCACCTTGTGATTTGTGGGTTAGAATCCCTGCCATGCACTAGAGGACATGATTATTGAACCTAGCCAGCTGTCAACAATGTATTGTTGTGAGCCAGCTGTGCTATGTATGTTTTTATATTTATCTTAAGTCAACGCCTAATGGTGTTTTTTGTACTTAAGCAGTGTATAATTGATATTTTAATATGAACAAAATATGAAATGACCATATAAAACGATGCTACGATGAACCTACAGAGAATTATCACCAGACTCCTCTCGGCTTTACGGAGTTTTATATCGAGTTTCAGCTCAGTTCGACCGCAGCAGGCAGCTGTTTTCTACGGGAAAAAGACAGTTAGTGACCGATTAACACTGTGGAGCAGATACACACATATCTTATATGTCCCTCAGGAGTTGGAAGAGACCAAAAACAGAGCTAAAAGTGATTGAATATTGGACATGTATTCACCAGATGACCTGAAACACAACTCCAAATAAATTATGTTGCTCCGTAACTGCTGGACATGATGCATCTTTGCTGCCTGCTGGATGTGTAAAAGGACTGTTTGCTAATACATTTTTCATATCAACTTGCAGGTCCAATAACATTTACAATGACCTATTGGCAGAAATATAAAATAATATTCATAGGTATGTTTATATTAGTCTACAGTCACCTGAAGATAAAAATCGTTATATTTTTAGTTCCTTAGAATAAGCTGTTTTTATCTACAGAGGGAAGCGGGTCCTCTTCTATGAAGTTCACCATGTTGAACTGCCATGTTTCTACAGTATCTTAGAATGAACAAAAGCCTCTAGCCATTTGTGTTTTTCACGAGATTTTACTTGGTTACAATCTCCAATACCGTCACTAGATGCCACTAAATCCTACACACTGGTCCTTTAAAAGGTGCTTTGATGATGTTTCGGCTGCCCTAAGTGGCAAAAACGGTACTGCAGGTTTCACTAGTGAGGATATAGAAATAGAATGGTTTATTGCATATAATGGATAAAGGTGAACCAATATAATAAACTGGTGGAGGGATGAAAGGTAGGGATTGGGGGCTGAGGGATGAAGGGAAGGAGGGGGGAGAAATCAGGTTCGTGGACAGATGGATGGAGGAGTTCGGGCGAGAAGATGAGAGGGAACCCTGTGGGCATTGAGACTCAGGGTGGGGAAGTCGTCTCTTCTTTGCTCCTAGTTACAGCCCCTATGTTTCCTGTGATTGGATGAGAGAGAGAGAAGCGAAGAAAAAAGGAAAAGAAACGGTTTGGCTTGGAGGGATGTGAAAACTGAGACAAAGAGGGACTGAATGGATAAGGTGTGCTTAAGTACTTCTGGTGCGGAAATGAGATGATGTTTGAGGCGTGGGCTTTGTTCCTTCCCTGTCCTTTCTGTTTCTGTCATTATAAAAGACAACCCATCGAACAACCCCAGCAAGAGTCTACAACCATGCTACCAGCTTAGTTGCACTCATGGTCATCTGTGCTTTAAGTTAAATGCTAATTTAAGCTTGCATGACATTGACATGTGGCATGCAGTGACGTCACTAACATGCTCCTTTTTTTAGCAGGTATCATGTTTACCATGCATCACCACCTTAGTTTAGTGTGTTAGCATGCCCTGAGCATTTCCCCAGTGTGGAATCAATAAAGTCTATCTTATCTTAAACACAAAGTACAGCTGAGGATAATGACAGTGTTGTTTCAGTAGCACATCCCAGCCTCCACATCAGGGCCTATAACTGAAATAAGGTTAACTTTATTGATGCCACAGTGGTAGATTTAAGTGTCACAGGAGAGTTACAGTTGATGATTATTAAAAAGTCAAGAGAAGTCAGTTAAGAACTAAAAATAGGTTATCAACAAACAGTAGGAGTAAGGTATACAGTACACTTGTAGTAAATAAGTCAGAGATCATGAAGAGAAATAAAAAACAGTTTCAATAGTGTGAAATATGACAACAGAGACCCGTCGCTGGGGGGGGGACACCCCATTCCGCCTGACACTGGGTGTTATTACGCACAGCTGACCGCAGGCGTGCGGCATCCAACTGTCTAGCAGAGAAGTAGTCAACCTAAATACTATTACCTTACACATTATTTATTTGTGTTTAAAATAATGGTTGCTGGTAATGCGACCCGCACAGTGAGCTCAGACCCGTGGGAGCTCCCACCTCCAAACCCTGAAAAACGAAAGCACAAATGATCCAAAAAAAAAAAGAATAAAAAGAGCCGCAGATGTGCATCACAAAGCTTCAATGTGACTGTATCACAGTAATACAATGCCATACAGTGTACATGCCTTAAACACCAGTGAGGTATGTCGACATTATTACATCCACTTATTCAGGTGTGTTTGCACACATGCATAATTCCTCTTTTGTTGTTTTTCGTTGCTTGATTTATAACCCAAAAGCTGCAAATTCCCAATTGGCACTAAGTGTAGCCTGTGTATAGCCACTGACATAACAGAGACGGCTCAGCTGATTTGGTTTAGTTGTTAGCAACTGAGCTAATCTCAATGACACAAGCAGCTCCTGTCTCAGTGGAAAAATACAGCAAGGAAGTGATACCTTGGATCTTTCAGAGCCAAACAGTTTTTCAACTCAGGCGGCATGGAGTGCTGACCAATCCAACCATAATTGGGTCATAGAGGAAACTGAAGGAAACCATAGCTACTTTGTTTCCCACTCTGGCTCTGCTCATGACATGTTGTTTGTGTAGAGATCTTGCCGTACACCCAGCTGAGAGGAATACTGATCAGACTGCTGTAAGCAACAACTCTTCGGGGGAGGGGGATTTGTGATGGAGGGGTAAGTACCTCACTGTGTTTTCTTTTTTTTTTTTCTTGCTGGTTTTACACTGGGTTGCTAAATGCATCGCTTTTAAATAAAAAAAAAAGTGCTGTAATAAGTGCAAGCTCGCTGATAAACACTTGCCAGTGAAAACTTTCCATTCCTGCTAATCCTGCCTGCTTAAGTTCAACAAATAAATAAATGAAGCTTGTGAACAGTGCCAGATAATCAGCTGAGTAGTTTGGTTTCTGTGCATAAACCCCCTGACAGCCCTCGTCCTATAAATGTGGAGGAGGTGGAAGGATATTTTTTAGGTCACATTTCATTGTATCCGCAATTAATCTGCTCCTGCTCCTGAAAAATGTCAAGGGACTTCCTCAAGGGGAACAGCATCGAGGCGCCGGGTCAAGATAACAGTCTGGCGAAGAAGACCCAGCTCCTGGACCGAGGCCAGTGGGCGAACAAGTTGGAGTTCTTGCTGGCTGTGGCAGGAACCCTGGTTGGGCTGGGAAACCTCTGGAGGTTCCCCTACTTGTGCTACAAAAATGGGGGAGGTAAGACAGGATTCCCATTTTTTTTAAATGCATATATATATATATATTTATATATATATATATTTATTCTCCTGCTAAAAGTTAAGCAACTGCACCGGATCTTAATGTAATGTCAACAAATGTGGAAAAATAACCTTGACTCATAAATAGATTAAGATGATAAGCAAGCCCAGGCGGAACACAAAGTTGTTTTTTTTCTTTTCTTTGTGTGATGAAATGAAACTCAGTGAACAAAGGAGACCATTGTTTTGTTTTGTTTTTTTCCTGATTTCCAAGTTAGCCATTAACATTAATATTAACTGTGTAAGTGATGGGTAATATTCCATCAGTGTTTGAGCATTTTAAAGCCACAATCTGGTCAACTAGATTCTGTTAAACCAGAAATTGGGGCTGCAAATACTACAAGACCCCCAGGGGTGGATGTGGGGACACATTCATTTAGAGTAATTTAAAAATTAATTTTTAAAATAACATGTTAAAAACAGTAATTAACACATAATTAATGACTGGAAGACTTGGAACTTAAGATCTTTCTATTTAACGGTTTGCTATGATGTGATGTTTTTAGTTAAAAAATTAACACTTGGGGGATTTCGCAAGTAAATATTGATAAATTTCATTGTTTGCCATTAAACTGGCATATATTTCTATCACCAATATTTCTCTATCCCACCCCTGAAGATCCCATGTGAGGCTACTACTGTAATACTGCATCTAGATGTTGCACTACAAACAACATAACCACAAGAGTCACATTCAATGATTTTACTGTAAAAACAAAACTTGTACAGTCTGGTAAACTGTTCCTCAACAAGAAAACATGATCAAACATGAACTCCTCATGTCTGATGTACAGTACTTTATAATTACATTTTCTCTGAGAGAACACTACTTTGGCATGCTAATCACGCTCATCTCATGTTTTCTCTCAGGTGCATTTCTGGTTCCATATGTATTGTTTCTGCTTGCTTGTGGTATCCCAATGTTCCTCCTGGAAACGGCTATGGGACAGTTCACATCTCAAGGTTGCATCACCTGCTGGAGGCACTTCTGCCCCTTGTTTGAAGGTCAGTGAGTTAAACAGAACTGAATTATGTAACTAGTATTAGTAGTAGTGTATTATACATACATGTAAAGGAAATGTGTCAGCCTTTCAGAGATAAACTTTTCCTTTCCTCCTTTTCTCCAAAATGCAAATGAGATTTTAATAGTTTTTGGAAAACAATGTAGGTTTTGGTACAGAGTAAAATATATAGAGCAATATTTGTTAGTAGGATCAATTCATTGTTGGTTTTGGTCAGTTTAATTTGTTAACAACAAGAATGTAGAATATCACCAGACGTATCATTCAACACAGAGAAAAAGGTAAACAAACCTATTTAAATGCCTATTTTTTGCTGTGTTTAAACAAGATCACGCAATTAAACGTCTCACCACCAGTCAAATGGTTATGGCAGGTGTGCCAGCTGGCAGAGTGGGAAGAAACTCTACACCTTCAATCAGTGTTAGAAAGCTCACCAATCTGCCAATCTACCAAGAGCCAGCCTGCTCTTACATACACAGTCCTACTGTGAATTAACAAATGCAATAACAATACTTTCTTTGAGAAAACAGATGAAGTATATGCTGCAGTATTATTTCATCATTATCAATAATCTACATTGAACACACCTTATCTGTCCCCTCAGGGATTGGTTACGCTACCCAGGTTGTGATTGCATATGCTGCCGTGTCATACATCGTCATCCAGGCGTGGGCCTTCTTCTACCTGTTCTCGTCCTTTAGCGCTGAGGTCCCATGGGCCAGCTGCAGGAACAGCTGGAACACAGGTACACATGTAGACAAATGAAGAAATTAACTAAGCGCTTGACCAACGTGTGTGTGCGTGTGTTGTTCATCTAATTCCTTTACCTTATATCTTCATAACAGCACTAATAGCGAACGGCAGAAAAGGAACAGAAAAAACAGAATCCCTTAAAAACATCTTGTTTGACTGATCAAGATCAAGTGAATGGTTTTTACAACAACAGCTAACTTGTACTATCATGTTAGTATCTGAAAACCTGATTCCAGTGGTTGGGTGGGGTGCCTGAGGGGTTATGTTGCTCACCAGTGTTTTTTTTAAGTTATTTTTTTGGCCTTTTATTGCCTTTATTTGACAGTGACAGCCGAAGATAGACAGGAAAGGTGGGTAAAGAGAGAATGACGTGCAGCAAAGGGCCGCAGGTTGGATTCGAACCCTGGGCAGCCAGCTCACCAGTGTTTTGAATGTAGCTTCAGTTCATGACTTCAGTCAGCTTCCTGGTAAATTTCGTAATTTTTGTAAATCATTTGGGGAACAGAAAGAAGTGGATGGTTCTTGACTTGGTATAAGATAGATAGTTTGTTATCTGCTGAGTATATAGAACGGTATCTGTCTTTTTTTTATTGTATCTACACTTTGATCCATTAAATATCTCCTCTTGTTTTTTCTCAGAGACTTGTGTTGAATTTGATAAAAAAAATGCATCATCCAATTGGACAGCAGCTGCGAATGCAACAACACCTGCAACAGAGTTCTGGGAGTAAGTGTAATTTACTCCTTTGTAACTGATATCACATTTTTTAGGAGGCATAATACTAAAAGCACATTGGGCACCCTGTTGTTTTTGTGTGATCGTCTTTCTTTGTCTTTCCTCCTTCTATCGCAGCCCATAGGCCCAATTGATCACATATTACAAACACTGGTATACAGAGAGGAGAAATTCAAGGACATATTTTCAGTTTACTGGTGAGCTGCATTTCCATGTTGCTAAGCCCATAATTAGTGTCCAGTGTAGGCTACCTGTTTGCCCATGTAAAGCAATTCCTCCAGAGATGGTCAGTGTCTTGGTCGGTCCAAACTAAAATATCACAACATCTACATGATGTCTGGTAAAGACATTGACTTTTCTTTCACTGAGTCGATGTTCTTGAGTTAAGATGGGCCTAAAAACCATGGTTGTAGCCTCCTTCTCGCAAAGAAAGAGAAAAGCCAAAATAAAGGCTGATACAGAAATGTATACAGCCTCAACATTTACCAAATTGTGTAACTTATGTATGACATTTGCCACATTTACAATTATTTCACAATTCACATGGACACTTGATTCAAACCTTAAAATGTTCATGAAGCTTTTTTTTTCATTTTTTCATGATTCATACTTTTTACACTTTCAGCATTTTTTTAAGATTTTCATATGAGTGTGTGTGTGGGGTGGACAGAGTGGGGGACATAAGAAAAAGAAGAGGGAATATAATAGGGAATGATAAGAGAAAGTATTCTCAAAAAAATAATTCAACTTGCTTTTACTCCCATAATGTTTACCCCACATACATAATTTGTTCATCAGAATATAGAAAACATTTGTGCCAGTTGCAGACTTACGGAAGCAAATTGACTTTTGGCTCCATTAGCCTCCAAGCAACAGGAGCCCCAACCAACTGCTGCACTGACTCCCGTAGTGACTGAGCGCACACACACTCATATTTATCTATTCACCACAGGGAGACGCAGAAACCTCTGATTACCAGAGAAACGCTGCTGGTAGATAGATTTCCTAATTAGTTAATCCTTGCTAACCATATACTCAACCACATCTATGAAGTGTATTCAGTCCTAGATTTGACTCTTTTCTACTTTTCTAATTTTCTAAGTTGCTTCTCAATACAAATTAAAGGCAGAAATTTAGTTTAGTTTAGTCTTTCATACATTATTGATGCTATTCCACTTTCAGAGCAAGCTATGCAGTTTACCTCCGAGCCATTGTTCATAATTTTTCATCTGCTACAAAGTTAAACCAGATATGCATTTTGACTCCCAGCATACACTATATTTTTTATCCTTAATGTCTTTTCCACTTTTACAACGATTCATATTCTTTTCGACTTTTATCCATGCATTCATACTTTAAGCCAAAAACTCAACTCAAACCTTATAATGTTCCAAATTGTTCATACATTATGAGTTTTATTGAACTTCCCATTCATAGTAATTAGACCCTTTCCACAAATATTCCACATCTGTCACAAAGTATTGGTCAACTTTTAAAGCCAGCCAGCAGTTTAGCATCAGACTTTCAATATCAATAGCAATCACACCGCAATTTCTTCCGAAATACTGCTTCTACAAAGTATTTGGCAGCAAAGACATAAAACAGGGTGTGAAGGTTTTCCAACAGTGCTGAGTCATGGTCAACATTTTTCAAAAGATAACATGCAGAACATTCAGTGCACCGTGAATGTGGTTCAGGCAATGAAAACAGCCGTCATTTTAACTAAAAGCTAATTCTTCTGCTAAGTTGATACATTTTTTTAGTATGTATTTAAAAATACACTACTGGGACAACTAGGTTTTTCTTTCCCCCAAACCATTTGGCCATTCCTCCAAAGATGACTTTAGTTAAGTGATACTGTTTGAGAAAAGCACTCTGATTAATACTCCTCTTATTACTGTATTCAAATGTTCCACCTGAAATTTACCAAAAACATTCGATTATTTTCAACATGAAGGTGAGGCAATGTAGTAATAACACCATGTGATCAGTCACATTGATCAGTAATTCTTCATCATAATAACCTTCTTTATTATTTTCTGATCATTATTAGTAGCCTTGAACAAAGTTCCCAGTGTTTTTGTCTCCAAACTGTTTTACTGACCCTGTTTTGGCAATATGATGTGTTTCTTTTCAGGAGACGAGTGCTGGGTATATCTGGAGGGATTGAGGAGATTGGTAGCCTGAGGTGGGAGTTGGCCTTGTGTCTCCTACTGGCGTGGATCCTGTGCTACTTCTGTGTTTGGAAAGGAGTGAGATCCACTGGAAAGGTATAAGTCTTTGTTTAGAAGATGGCACTGGATTTTGTGTATATGTGTGTGTATGTGTGTTCCTTTTATCATAGCATCTGAGGAGGAAATCTAAAACATTTTGAGATCGCATTCATGAGATCCCTGTGAACTGAAAATTAAAGTATTCTCTCAGTTGGTGTTTTAAAGGTGTGGTGGTGGAGAATACTACAAAATGGTCCATTGTCATCTAGGAAGAGACTAATTATGAACCCTTTTTTTCTTGGTGGACAAGACCTCTTTATACATATCACAAAGACTGTACTTGTTCTAGTCTTCCGACCACTTAAAGCGCTTTACACTACATGTCCTATTCACCAATTCACACACATTCACACAGTGATGGCAGAGGCTGCTATGCAAGGTGCCAACTGCTTATCTGAAATAGAATCCAAGCTGTTTACACACATTCATTTGGGGTTCAGTATCTTGCTCAAGGACACTTGGACATGCAGCTGAACGAGCCTGAGATCAATCCGCCATCCTTCTGATTAGTGGATGACCTGCTTTACCTCCTGAGCCACAAGCGCCCAGCATGATAGGATCGTAATTACTTAATTCTGTCATGCAGTACACCTGAATGGAGACATCAGCATTCATTATATTTCCCATTTATTCCAATTTTCCCTCAAATTTGTCACCAGTTGGTATGTTGTTGAAAGGTAGCATTTCTGATGAGGTGTTAAACTCTTGGGGCATAAACAATGAGCCTCGTGCAAGAACATTTTTATGTTTCAATATATGTTATGTATTTATTGTATTTCGTACTTTCTTTACTTTTTTCCAAGATTGCATGCAAGAAGTCTGATTCTAAACTCTCTTAACAGCACAAACATAAATAACTCAATTCAACCTAATGAATGCCACCTGTTCATGTGGGCAAGTTTCATTCACAAAAATACAAAACAATATATATATATATATATAAGGGTAAAAAGAATACCACAGCATTTTAGTCCCACTGTCACAACTCTGTCAAAACAGAACACATTTAGTGATTTGAGTCAGAAGTTGTATTAGGGGACACAATTATAAAATATCAGCAGGGCCGTTCTGGAAATAAGTGAACAGTTTGATATTAAGGTAGATGCTAAAAAAAAACATCTTTCTAAAGCAAAATGGTCCATGACTTAGATGAGAGGTGGTCAAGTCATATGACGGTCGTAGAGAAAGAAAAAATGCATTTTAAAGGATTGCGAAACACTGCACAACAGTTGGTAATACTCACAGACAGGGTGGAAAGTTCACAGCTGTCACAACAAGGTTTGGTCTAGACCACACATACATTTTGCTCATATTAAATTATGAATAATTAGTGTGTACGTAATTTTGAAAAATACAAAGATTATCCAAATAATTTGGTATTTACTTTGTTTTTCTTTTATGTAACTCTTTCTTGTAATGTAGCTGCTCTGTTGCAGCTTCTTGTCAGATTCCAATAACCAACAGTGTCTTAAAACAACATTAAAAGCAGAAACCTGCCTTTGTCTCGTGTTGACAGGTAGTTTACTTTACAGCCACTTTTCCCTATGTGATGCTGGTGGTTCTGTTGGCTCGTGGACTCACTTTACCAGGAGCTATGGACGGCGTAGCTTTCTACCTGTATCCTGACCCGACAAGGTTGGTGGACCCTCAAGTAAGTAATAAAGTCAAACATTAAACATAAATACCAAGCCAAGCTGCAAGCTCAATAGCCTTCCAACAGAGGCACAAATACTGTAAACCACTCCAACTTCACAATAAATACTTGTGCAGCAGTATCCACTCTTGTTGAAAGTTCACTAATATTTATGTTTTTTTGGCATCTGCTTAGGTTTGGATGGATGCAGGTGCACAAGTTCTTTTCTCTTTTGGGATTTGTCAGGGGAGTTTGACAGCTCTGGGCAGTTACAATCAGTATAACAATAATTGTTACAAGTAAGTGCTATCTGCTTTTTGGTCTTTTTGTTTTATTTAAATGCGTCACTGAAATGTATGTATGAATTGATTCTAGCAATTATTTTTACTCTTGTTTTTCTCGAACAGTCTATTATGACTTGAGCAACTAATGATTATTGACATCATCAATTCATATGCGCTGATTATTTTCTCGAAAAGTAGGGCTTCTCCCAAAAATATGTCAAAATTGCTTGATTTGTCCAACTAACAGTCCAAAACACAAAGACCAGAGAACGTTTGGCTTATTTGCTTAAAAAATTACTGAAATACACAGCCACATATATCCTGGTCTGACTATATACATAAATAGGAGAAGGTCTAATTTGTGATTTAAATGGGCCCTTTAAGCCATTTTGATAAAAATACAGACAATATCAATATCAATAATGTTTTCTATGCCATATTTTATTGTGTTATGTTGTTCTAATTTAATGAACCTTTAAAACATGAATAATGTTTGCCATTGCAGCAAACATCCATCATTTTCAGTGCATTTTGCTTCAGTTCAGTCACACTTTTGATTAGTTACTGTATCCAGTCCAGTTGCAGTAAAAACAAGATGTAACAGCTATGTAGCAGACAATAAAAATGTAACTTAAGGCTTGACTTAGTAGAGCCAGTAGACAAGCCGACTGAAAACAGACAACATACATTGTTTCCAACAAATTGTGATACAATACTAGTCACCTTTCAAGTCAAGTTCTTCTGCTGGCATAAATGTTTCTAGGTGTGTTGATTTAAAGTGGCTACACCATGGTTACACATTTTCAATGGGGATCAGGTAAGGTATAGTCAAAGCCTTTATTAAGTCAGGCATTATTTTAAAAAATGCACACCAGTTTCAACCTGCGTGTTCTTCTTTAAAGGGGAACTTGGCAACTTTTTCAGCTTAATAAACCCGTTTAGAAATCATTTGGATGGTTAAATGGCCTGTTCCGGTGAAAATGGTGACCCTCCCACCCCCCTC